TATCTAATTGACAAATTTGAATAAAATACTATTTAATATCATTTGTCAATAATCGAAGTTATAATTTTGATGTTACATCCGATCTCCCATTATTCACCATAGTTTCAACAAAATTTGCCGTATTATTATTTTAATAACAGCATCATTCGTTAATCATCCTTCATTATTCCTATCGTTACTTTCAACTTTCGTATAATTGCACCTTCTTCGTGTATAATTATTTCAGTACCAGAATCATCCTTCCTCTTTTATCTTGTCTCATGTTGAGAAAGAGAACAGCTTAGAAACAGGAAGGATGTCTATGTCGATACATTTTGCACGTTTTTACTTCGATGACATGCATCAAAAATGAGCAATCATACTTATCTATACTTCAAATTATTAATAACGATAATGACGATTATTAAGTTGGTTTACATAAAATATTCTTGCCGTCAAACACAGCAGATGTAATTTCTGAATAACATCATATCTTTGAATATAATTATACATTTATAATGCTCTCTTCCTTATATGTACGTACATATAATATAAATGTTGACTGGAATAATGCCAATAGCAAGTAAGGCTGAAGGATGGCTCTGAAATGCGGGATTTGTGGTCGAATTTTCCATTTCCGTTGGATTTCAAAGTTTATTTGTTCAACGTGACGAACCCTGTCGAAATCACGGCAGGAGAGAAACCAATCGTCAAGGAAGTAGGACCATTTTTTTATGAGTAAGCGGCTTCAGAATTATTACATACAATAAACATCCGATTGAATTTTGTTCATCCACTATCATATTAAAATACGTCTACTAGTTAATAAAATGTTGTATTCAGAAATATTAATACGTGTTGCATTTAATAGTGATGATTCAAGCTTGTAAATTATAGCATTGATGATATTCATCGTTTATAATAGTGAATACAAGCAAAAGGTAGATCTCGTGGATCGAGAGGAAGACGATAGTGTGGAATACAATATAAAAACGACTTGGTATTACAATCCGTCACGAAGCAACGGATTAACCGGCGAGGAGGAAATTTACTTCCCTCATATCGTTATTCTGACCATGGTTAAAACTACCCTCAAAGAGCAACCGGGAGCTCTAGGAATCCTTAGTGAGTGTTATCATTTTCCTCTGTTTTCGAAGGAATTGAAAAATCCAAACGCTTCGATAAAAAACGAAGGTCGAGGCAATCTTACATGAGAATATTTAAGGACCTTGGTGTCAGGGAGGGTGTTTTACTTATAGCTAACGATATATTATTTATTTACCCTTACCTTGAACGGTCGAATCAATTTATTTGCATAAAGCCATTTCTAGAACCATTTTCGCTTAAGTCTCAGTGCATCCTTTATAAATTGCATCTTGCTACCGATTTTAGAACCGTGTAAACAACATTGAAATTCACAGATAAGGCTGTGGACAGTATCTTCAAGAAACCAAGTACTGTTTTCATTCGAGCAAAAGTGAAGGAAATACTTTTTGAAGGCTTGCCAATCGATTGCACAGTGAAGGATTTCGCTGGGACGGCAGTCTGCACCGTCTTGAAGGAGAACGACGACAGCTTTGTACCCGATGGCGAAGGACGTTACTTATTCTCCATTTTCGGCAAGGTACGCGTTCTACGTCCATTACCCAAACGTGTAATCTACTTTTTTTTATAATATTAAACAAATATTGTGATTGAATGATTATCACGTCGTATCAGTGAATTCAGAAATCAAGAATGAGATCAGTAATAATTTTTCTGATCGTTCCAATTGTTGTTCGTTGGAAATCGGGAGTTCTGTTTTCCTCACCCTGTTTTCAACTTCCGCAAGTTCTTTACACAAAATGCTAGAGGCGAGACATTCATCTAATATTTAAATGACATGGATTTTACGATCGTGCATGTCTGTGTAGCAAAATGGCACCATTGCGCCACAACGTATACGAGTGCTGCGTGGTATAAAGAACTACAAGGATCTGGGACGAGTGATCGAATTTGATGGGAAACCGGCGTTGACGATTTGGGCTGGCGATAAATGTAACACGTTCAACGGTACAGACTCGACGATATTCCCGCCGTTGATACAGGAGGGAGATGACATCGTCTCGTTCTCTCCGGATGTTTGCAGAAGCCTGGCGGCCCAATTCGCTCACAAGAACAAAGTCAAAGGCAATAATGATTTTATGCTCATATTTATTTAATTTACTATTTCTTTATTCAAATATATTTACAGGCGTGAACACGTATCATTATACAGCGAATTTCGGGGATATGAGTACCAATCCCGATGAGAAATGTTTCTGCCCTGCGCCAGACGAATGTTTGACCAAGAATCTGATGGATTTGAGCAAGTGTCTAGGGGCGCCGCTAATTGGATCCTTGCCTCATTTACTTTGGACGGAAGAAAAATATCATAAAATGGTAGATGGGCTTCATCCGAACGAGGCAAGTGGTTCTACCTTCCTCTTGCCAATACACAATCACCTTGTTTCAAATATTTGATGAGCCTTCGGTCTGAAGCGAATTATTTCGTCAGTGTGTGTATCTGACGTGAGCACACTTTTCTTTTTATAGGAAGAGCATATTATTGACATGGATTTCGAGCCATTGACAGCTACCCCGATAATAGCGCACAAGAGATTACAATTCAATATGTTTGTTCAAAAAGTTGAAAAATTCAAGTTGATGAAAAATTTGCCAGAGTGTCTATTTCCCCTGTTCTGGGTCGAGGAGGGAATACTACTCGAAGATCAATTGGTAAACAAAGTTAAAATGGTGTTCAAGACAATAACTGTCGTCGGGTAAGTGATTAATCAACGGGTATTAAAAATTCATTATTCGAAGTAAATTGTTTAGGGATTAATCGAAGCATGGTTTAAAAACAGATTTTTAAAGTGGTTGACAATAGTCGGCGGTACTTGTTCCTGTATAGCATCCGGTGCGTTGATATTCTTAAATAAGGAAAAGGGGAAGATGGACGTGACCAAAGTGACACCGCAGTCGCAGAGCGCGAAGGATGACGATCAAAAGAAGTGGCCTAATCAGATAACTATTAGCACGATACAGAGTGCCGCGGTTCCGCCTAATCTCGATGCAAATTGAACGCTTGAGTAATTTTACATACTCATTTGTTTCATTTTTTGAAACTCTTTTTGAATGACTGCGAGGCGGTTCGATTAAACTGTAAAATGGATGGATGCAGAGTACGAAATCAGAATACCGGAACCGGTGTGGAGTGAATGAAATGAAAAAATGTATATCAGATTTAGAGAATTACAGTAGCGTAAGTAAATTCCGAAAATCTCGGCCTACTGAATCGCCAGAGTAAAAAGATTACGGCTTAGTGTAGTACGGCCTAAAGAAGTACTATAACTATGATTCTCAAGCGTTTGCTTACGTGTAACGTGACTTAAATTGCTCAATTTGAATTTGTCGCACTTTTGTTTAATATAAAATTAAGAATGTAGATCAGATTTGGAAGAATGCAGATCGCTATAACTTTATAATAGTATTCTTAGCGCCTAATAGTTATCATAAATCGTGAACACTCTATGTACAATTTAGCTAATTTTATTTACTAATTTGTCATTTTATTTAACTATTTACAATCCTGTTTTCTTAAATTGTGACACAATCAGAACTGATACACTTTCCTATTGTGGATATCGATATTCCACATGTTCCTTATACAGACATACATATATTATTAAATAATTTATTTGTTCTTAAGTGTTATGATGTATAAACTGTAATTAGATTGTAAATGGAATTGTAACAATAAAGAAATCATATTTTCTAACGAAATATCAACTGCGTCAAGGAAATCGTAAAATACAAAAATGGATAAGTACTTAAGATAAGTATACATATAGTTTATCACGATCTTATCATACGACTTTATTTTATAGACATGTAATTTGTAATCTCGAGAATTTTCTTTTCTCAAAAAGAAATAAAACACAGAATCTGATCGACTATTTTAAGGATGTATTGGCTGTATAGCAATATTCTTCAGACGTCTGATTTCTTTTTAAAGAATGCGTTTCTAAAGTGCATAAACTTTTGGGATTGACTGTATAGCCAGTACATCCTTAATCAGCAGACTTACTTATGAAATTATAAATTACTGAAAATACTTCAAAGTACAGTTTGACTTTTTTATGGAATAGAGCAAAACTAAATAATAAAGCTAAATACTTGAAATGGAAAACGAAACACTCTTCATCCCGGCGACTTCCTGTTCGAGCTTTTCACCGATGAATCGTTCCTGCAGAGCAACACATTTTTATAGGCACTCCTATACTCGGAACTCATCACCACGTAAACCACAGGATTTATGCAAGTGGTCAAATAAATCAGTATGTATCCCGCGATGTTTAATCCTCGCCAATCGATCGCGTCCTTGAAGGTCTTCGTGACAGTGATCGGTAAATAGCAAACGAGGAACGATGAGAAAATTACTAGAATCATTTTCAACAGTTTCTTATCCTTGTTACTCATTCTTGGAGTGTCCGGGTTCTTGAGCCTCCTCAGGCTCCTGAATCTCGATTCCCTTCGAAAGATCGTTGGCCTTCTCCTAGAAGATCGATCCGGAGATTCCGATCTCGAACTATCCAGTCGATCGCTTCCCGTTGACGTCTTCGAGTTCAATCTTTGAACCCAGAGAGCCGACTCAATCATGAACGAAGCTCTGCTGGCTATTCTTTCCAGTCTCTTTCGCGCGTTCACGGTGACTCTTCCACTAGATTCCTTTGCCTCCGTTCGGTCGCTGTTCACGGTTTCCGAGGGTTCCAAATCATCCACGTAGGGTATGTCATCTATCCTCAGTTCCAAACTCGGTGTCGCTTTGTCAGAGACTTGGACGATTTTCGGAAGATTGCGACTACCAGACTGGTCAACCTTTTGGTCCTCATCGTCCTTCTTCAATTTCTCCGTTTTACATATCTCATTATTGTATTCTTCGATTCCTTCTCCCTCCCTGGCTGAATTTTGTTCCGACGACGGCTGTTCCGAGAAGGATTCCTCCATCGCTGATCTTGAAGGAGTACGAGATCTGTTGAGACGATTCGGTGGAGTTATGCCTCGTTTCGAAAAGTTCGCGCACAGGACACTCGCCGCGCAGCTCGAACCTAATACCGATAGTTCCTCTTCTTGATTTCTGAACGACATCGATCGCCGCTGTAATTACAAAATCATAGATTTAATACAACACGGAATCATAGATCTACTCGCATCTTCACTATTTTTAACATAAAAATTGTCGTGTTACCTCATGATTGTTTTGTATATTTTCATTATTGGTAGCGTTTCGTCTTCTGCTTTTGTGAGCCGTTTTCCGCACGATGTAAAAAATTCTTGCGTAACAAACGACGATCGCGACGCAAGGTATCAGAAAGGCAACGACAAAGAGGAACTCCTTTGGACTTCGACCTTTCTCGTCTTGTAGAATAGAACAGGAACCTATAGCAACATCCATCCCGAAACGACCCCATCTTTCAAACCACGTGATGATCAGGACACCAAAAGCGAGGATCCATGTGCTTAAAACCATCGGTACTAAGTATCGTGGTTTATACAGTCTAAAAATAAATAATGCACGTATCTTGAAGTCTGTATAATAATTTCAAGTATAATAAGATTATTAATCATACGGAAATATGTAGAGATAATTGATAAATTATTTGAATGAAATACGTGATATTTTACGAAAAGTCGGATGTGTTTAACAAAGATGACATTTTATGATATACGAATTTTATGTATGATGCACACATGTTATTTTTTACTTAAGCAAAGGTGAATTGAACAGTACTTACCTAGGATAAAGCCTGGGGTGTCCTATCATAACGTAACGATTGATTGTGATCGCCAATATAGTGAAGAGACTCACCGCTACCAGACCGTATCTTAACAAAGGAAACAATCGACACAAAAGTGGTCCATGAGTCCAGGAGCTGTGCCAAAACGTCGACGAGGCGAGGGGCAAGTTGAAACAGCAGAACATTAAATCGGAGACAGAGAGATTCATAATGAAGATCGCTGTGGCGTTCCTTAACTGTAAAACAAGTTATTAAACTCATTATTTAGTACATCTCAAAATAAACAATTGTTTAGAAGAAGTATAATATAAAAGAATTTTTTCAAAATTTTTATCTTCTGTACACATCGGAGTAAATGTCGAATACACAAGTGCAAGTACAGTTGCCTGATATCAGGATCACAAGTGATCAAATTCAAAAGCAATATTTCAAGACCATATTATGTACTTTTATTCATTAAATATTTGTTTAATAAAATATTTATTTTGATATATTTTATGTTACGTTTATACGTGAAGAGACTAAAAACAAGCTAAATTGAATTTGCTATGAGGAAACCCCCGTGAAATTTCACGGTAGTAAACAAACGGTTAAGTAATAAAACAATAAAGCATTGTGTTTCTTCCTGGTATAATTCTAGTTCATCGATTGCAGCAGCTGTCGAAATTGGCACAGATGCGTCTACGGGACTACAGGACCAAAACTTATGAAAACACGATTTGTATATGCGAACGTTTCCAAACTTAGCTTCTCGGCGATCGATGCGAATGCGAAAGAGTTTTTCTCGAATAGCGAACTGTACCGATGACTTCTATTGTTTTTAAAACTGAAAAAAAGTAAAAGAAGAATATGTAATGTCTTTATAAGAATATTTTACAATCGCAAAGAGTATTCTACGTATACGTAGTCACGCGTCGTTTCATTCTACCTAGGAAGTCCTGCATCATGAATAATAGATTTTCTGCGTACGACAGAAAAGATTCGCAGCCGTTTTAAGGTACTCAGTACGCGTCGCACGTTGCAAAATTGTCTCCGAGGTAAATCAGAGGTAGGGAACTCGAAGAAAGAGGTACGATTGTACGCAAGAAGTTATCAATATCCTGGGATCGAGACGCCTTATCCGTCGATCGAATGGTTGGTAAATACACATTTTCAACAGATAAATATCCCTGTATTTGCAAATTACCAGCGTTACTTGCAAGTGTCCATAAATTTCGTACCTAACGTTTCATCAGAAGCATCGAATTTTGTAAACGTTTATAGAACAGAAAATATATCCGGTCTTTCGCGGTTATCGAGCTTTTAGAGAATTTTATTACATTGCTGAATACGACGTGATGTTTTCATCTAACATAGCAGATGTAATTCTTGCAGAATTATCATGCATTCAATTCAAATAATTGATCAATTACTTTTGCACGTATAAAAGTAATCAAAACGAAAATTAAACTAAAGTACATCGATTCTATTAATTTAACAATATATTTTAATAAAGTTATTCTATTTATAATTCATTCACTATAGTTTTTAACGAAATCTGATATGCCATTGTCTTAAAATAATATTCGTGGTAAGCCGCTCATTAATGTAGCCAGTTTAGAATTGAATACCATCAAGCAGAGCATATCTGCTTACTAGAAACTCGAGTAATTGCAATGTGTGACGTCTATTATATGTAACGAGTTCACTGTTTTATGTATAATTCTTTGCAGAAATGAAAAAATTTAATAATAACGATTCCCAATAACTTTCATTCATTGTTTCTGATTGATATTATTTATCCTATCGCGGAAATTTGCCAGCTGATCGATTGTACGTTTAATTAATTCGTCAGATTCTTAAATCACAAATGTAGGTAGAATTCGTATCGATAAAATCTGAGAAGAAAAATGCGTGACTGACCTTTCTGGTGCGGAAAAGGGCGATGATGGTGAAAAGATTTCCCGGTATGCCAACGAGCATGAAAAGTATGCAACATCCGGCGGCGAAGTGAAGTAGCCATCGCGGATACCCGACGAAGAGGACCGCCGATCCTGGATCCCTGAGGACCGCCTGGAGTGTCTCCTCTCTGGCATTGTGACCGGTCTCGTTGCTCGCCATCCAGTACTCCATCTGCGGACAGCATGGTGGACAGGTGTCGTTTTGCACAGGAGCGTAAAAACTGGACGCTCGTTCGCCATGCGACGCGAACGAGAAAATAATTGTCATTTTCTTTAATCCATTAAAAAAAGAACAGTCAGTCATCATTTTAATAATTACAGGAAATGAGTTTTGTAATTATGCAATTGAGCAACAATTAATGTCATACATTTGTCATGATCATTTTTCGCGTATTCTATTTATCTCGTTTTAATTCTACGCATAGATCTGACGTGCCGTAAACTGAGTTTGAATTTTCGCAAGTGTCATTATTTTTATTAGGATTATTATTTTCAATCGATAAAAAATTGATGAACGACAGCAATTAGCACCAGAAGAGCCGCTCCCATGATAGCGACAAGATCAATGTGTACACGTTATGAAATCCAATAGTGTTATTTGTGAAACGTGCCTATTTGCACGTGACACGCCCAAGTAATTCGCATATCCACAGGTATTTCTTATCACCGAAATAAATTGCCTAAACGACGCGTCATTTTTACAGAGAATGATAACAAAATCGATAAGACAACTCGGATTCTTATTGGCTATTTTCGCTTACTTCGCTTTTACTTGTTTTAGCTCGCATTCAGAAAAGAAAATGCATATGCGACGCGACGCGACGCGACGCGACGCGACGCTTTTCTTACTGGGGATTCCAAGAGGAACAGAGAGAGAAATCTATTTTCGCCACTCGAGACGATAAACTCTTTTAACTGGGAGTAAACTTTACCGTTTCATTCTATCCCTTGCACGAGTCAACACAGAACATTTTCAAAAGAATTTTCGACTAAAAACTTAGTGTGGCGCCACGCCGGTAACTTCGATTTCAATTTTAGACGAAAGCATGTTTTCTTTCAGTCTGGTTGATTATAAAATTTGGACATTTACGCACTGGCATAAATTTAGTAGCACAAAGCGAAACCATAACTAGACACCGTAAGATAAACAAATTTTATCAGTAAAAGTTCTTTTAATATGAAAGTAAACATTTCATTCTGATAATTCTAATT